GAAACTCGCCTAAAATATGACCAAAAATATGATTTTATATCACTTCGGGCCCAAATATGACCTAAAGCTAAAATATGGTTCAAATATGAATTTATATGACCAATAAAAACCGTATTTTCATGTTCACAAGAGTCAGAAATGCGTTTATATTTAATTATACATGTGAAAAGATGCCAGGATAAAAATATGACATGTCATAGAAATCCGAGCCCTACTTATTACTATTAATATTGTACTGTCTTGTATTCATTTTTGACTTTTCTATATCCGATGGTTGTACCAGTATGGATTAACAGAAATAAATTGAAAAATTAAAATTAATTACAAATTACTTATCAAACTAGAAGTCTATTCCCAGAGTGTTAAAGATCGTGGAATCTTGTTAGGCCATAAGCTTTACTTTCACGGTCAAGTTGATTACATTTTTTTCAAAAAGCCTAAAAATATTAGGTTCCATTTGTTGTATTACACTTTCCTTTCCTACTATCTATAGTCTTACAGTTTTGTATAGTGCTCTAGTTTGATCGAAATTTGAATACACTTCTATCACCTGGAACACCATCAATTGACTGATTCATCTGAACTTAAGGAATTCAAAGAGAATTTGCAGTGTTATGTTCTTCCAGATTTCTTATCGGCATTTGTGATAATAGGTGTGATGACATTAATTAAATAAACATTTCCAGGCCGCAATTCCTTTATGCTTCATTTCTCATTAGTGTCTTTAAGAAACAAACTTGGTCACTCATCCATTTTTTGATACTATTAGTTTAACGCGTACCTACTAGGTCAGAGACTACAGCTTTCAATGTTTGCCAGTGTGAAGAGGTTAGTCCCTCAGCCACATGTGTTTCTGTAGCTGATGTCTGCAGATACATTGATATTATTAAAAGAGGGTTCTCTTCTTTGACTGATATTACTGACTTCGTTAATAGCACTTGTAATTATATGTAAGGTTTCTTGTTCAGATCCCTGTTTTCAATGTTTATGTTTTTAGTTCTTAATTTTATGTTCCTTTGTATTTTCTTCTCTCCTTTGTCTCTTCGTGTCTTCTGCATGATTATAGCCTTCTCTTTTCAGCGGCTATGTATAATTTTCATTTGCCTGTTCTCAAGCATTTTAATAAATAAATAATAAATCCTCTAAGAGGGAGCTGACAGTGGAATGATCATTTCAGTCCCAAGTCATCAACAGTTCTTGATTTAAAAGGAAATAAATGAATGAAGTGTCCCTGTGTTAAAATACTGGACACTGTGTGTTAAGAACTGCTTATATAGATGTTACATATTCTTTAGGTCTCAGCTTTCAAGACTTGTCTGCCTGGTTACCCAGGAGCCCCTTCAGCTATTAAAATATCAAAGTCAATTGAAGGGGCACATCTGTCATGGGAGCCACCACCAAGCACAACTGGAGAGATAATTGAGTATTCAGTGTATCTTGCAGTGCGCAGTGCCACTTCCCAGGCTCAGGTCAGTAAATGATGCGTAATCCAGCATGTTTATACTACTGATTTCTTGCCTGTCCTCTTAGGAAGGGTGTATTGTAGTTTTAAATACGTTCTTCACAACGATGAATTTACATCTGTGGTGATCAGTTTCTGTGAACTTGGGCACATTTTCACAAAATATTTGTATATTTAGAACATTTTTACTTTTAATGTGATTTCCGTTCGTCATCCTAACAAAGCTCTTCGCTATCAATTGACCTCATGTGTTACATATTTACATTTGCAAATGCAGTAATAAAAATTGGGAACTGGCTTACGTCAAAAACTGTCATCCATCCAGATAGTGACAATTACATGTATCTCTTAAGATACACAGTAAAAGAAATCCAGAAATTATTATTAGACAGGAATTGCCAGGATTTAGTTTCAGGATAAAATCACTACAGCCAGTACCTAGCTTACTGTATTACAGCTTACCATTGCAGGAAAATAATTTTATATAGTATATGCAGTTAATCCTGCTCAAGATATTTCTGCATAATGCATGCACATTCATATTTTATGTAGTGTGTGATTGCAGTGTTATTTCTATTCTAAAAATTATCTGTTTAACCTTTAAGAGACGGGTTTTTTAAATTCCGATAATGGCAGCAGGCCGGACTTAATTTAAATGCCCACCATTATAGAGTAATAAAAATTGTAATCATGTTACTAAAAATGCTGTGATTTCTACAATTTTTGTGATATACGAACGAAATAAACGCTGCTTTTATCTAGAAAGAATGTAGAATCAGTTATTGTAATTTACAGATTTTAAAATGTGTAGAAATTATTACACTGATTAAAAAAAAAATTCCCCCAATTTCTAGCGTCTGTCCACAAATATGCATAAAGTTGAAGAAAGCAGTCTTCTGGGATTTGGCACCGTGTATATGTGGTGTTAACCGACATTCCTCCGAAACGTCGGTTAACACCACATATACACAATGCCAAATCCCAGAAGACTGCTTTCTTCATAGTCACCACCGTGAAAGCCTCAAATCTTACATGCATAAATTTACTGCACTAAACCTTTCTGCAGTATAGACGCATGCTGCTAACACCCTTCTTACTGGCAAAAGGAGATGGAGTTTGTTTGTATTGCACATTCTCGAGTGGTCACATCAGAACCTTTCTGTATGAACAAGTGTGGCTACTTTGTCCTTCAGCAACTCTGTTTATATCTCGGACTGACACACAGAGATACTGTTCTCAGAACAGTGACGCCATGCCTAACGTTCAAGCCTAGCCCCTTGCTTCCTCAACAATTTCAGAATCGTGTACCGATATCAGCTGCCTCTCAGTTTCGGCTTCTTCCATGCGAAATGACGCCATAGTGGATAGTTGAAATTTATATTTTTTATAAGCATTACGATTAGAGTAGGCCACTGGACATCACTGGCCGACTTCCTGTAATACGAGACTGACGTGTCGTGTATTACATCCGGGCAAAGTGTATGAATTGCGACGTCAGACTCTACATTCAGTTAGATGGCGCAGGAGGGAAGACTATACTTATAAAGTGCGTGCCCAAAAATAATATAAGTAGAACAAGAATTTCTATCTTAAATAAGATTTTAAAACACTGTGCGCACGCGTGGACTGCGGGTAACCATACGGTTACGTACTGCCACTAGGCTATACTTTAAATGACGCTATACGGTGACATTAGGCTCTTAAACGTTAATACCAGTTGCTTTAAAAATGCCTTATCAGGGTATGTATGTATAAATAATATAACAAATAATGTAATATATCACATAATATAACCATTATCTATGTTTTATATGTGAGCTTTAACTCAAGAGAACACAGCTTTGCCAATGGTCTAATAAATCATATATCATTGTCCAAAATTTGAACTTCCCAAGAAATTTCATGCTATGGTAAAACTTTGTTGTATAAGTCATGTCATAATTAAAAGTAGATGATTTTTTAAAGGGTTTTGAATATTGTACATGTCTTTTATGTGTAATTGTTAGGGTGATACAAAAACAGTGTCTACAACACCAACACAGCTGGCCTTTGTTCGTGTATACTGTGGTCCAACCAACCAGTGCACTGTGCCAAACTCATCACTCTCAGCAGCGCATATTGACGTAACAACAAAGCCAGCAATCATCTTCAGAATTGCTGCTAGAAATGAAAAAGGATATGGTCCTGCTACCCAAGTAAGGTGGCTCCAAGGTAAGTATATGAATGTGGGTTTTGTGCAATATTTATAATTCAGAAGACCGAAAAAAAAGAACATAATGTATAAAGATATTCAAGACAGCAGCATTAATTATTTTATTATTGCTTAGTATCTAAAGTGAGTTACCACACTTTTTACCAAGTTCTCATTCTCCTTGACTGAAGAAATGAATGTGCATTTCACAGATCCATCTACTCAAGTGAAGATGCCAGTGGGTATGAAACGTCCGGGTTCAGATAGCAAACCGATGTCTCCTGCGAAAAGGATGAAAAATGAAGATTCTATGTCTTGAAGTGATTGAGTGTGTATGAAATAAAATATTTTAAAATAATTTTATCTGCAAAATGGCAACAGATTATCTGTATTTCCTTTTTGTGGAGAGGTTTCTTTTGCCTGTGACATAACTCATGAGCATGGACATAAGTTAGGACATCTGGTTTCTAATTGAAGCTAAGTGTGTGTGTGTGTGTTATGTCATGTTGACAGACATCTTGGTAGTGACTGATCTGCATTGAGCATTTTGTTCATCTAATCAAACATTTTAATGAACTCATTTTTGCAGTCTTTTCTTTTTACCAAGATTGAGATTCGTTCGGTTTTAAATTAGAGTNTTCATATAGACATCTGTCTGATTTTGGACGGTTACAGAGTTATGACCGTTTTTCATTCCCATACACGCCCTTGTGTGAACCACGTCTGTCAGCTGGCGAATCGCTACAGACAGCGTTCTTGTTATCTCGACACTTGAGAGCTACCAAAGGTGGGGTGGGTTGGTATATCCGGCACGGTTCACAACCGAGTGGCAGCCTGTGTTGCGCCGGCGGTGGCATTTTCAAAAATCAACTTTAAGCACCAATCAATTCAAATTAAAGGTAATTTCACGAAGTTAACTTTACATTCATACTTTAAATGTATCATGTATTATGCTGGTTTATTATTTTGTTCTGTTTATTGTCAGTAATCATTACCTTCTATTCTGAGTTTAAAACGGTCATAACTACGTAACCATCCAAAATCGGACACATGTTTATATGAACTTTTTTGATCACAAAGACCTAGGAATTCACCTCCTGCTGTTATGCCCTAAAGTCGTGAAACACCCTGTATTGTGTATTACCTTCTTGCAGTTCAGTGAAGTATAAGCAAGATGTTTAAGATTAACTTTACCATACAAGGAAATATAAATTAATGCTTTCTCACTATGCTGTTGGTGGTGTAAGTCTATAGAAGACAGCATATATGTTGTGACTTATAATACATAAACTTACAAAGAACAAGAATTTCATTGAATAAAATTGAGTGTTACAAGTGGTTTTCTCATTGTTCTGTAAATACAGTACATGTTTTCTGTAAAGACCTATTGAAAAGAGGTAAGTGGTTGCTGTTTCTGTTTGAAGATCACATAGTCTACTACTAAAGAAATTGCAGTTTTATCTCCAGTTATGAATAACCTGCTGAAGTTTGATGATGGTAACAGTACTGATGATCCAGATAATGGTCTTCCGGGTTGTGAGACAATTTTCAGGCTAGAAGACTAACTTTTACTTTTATACTTGAAGATGGAGGCAGCATGTTCCTTTGAGGCATTAGTGCCCATCTATGAGACTACACATCACATCCCAGACAACTGTAAATCATTCATTTTATTTATTTTCCATAGATCTGTACAGTATATAACCAGGGTGTGGAAACTGCCCTTAAAATACATATACAAAATTGTATGAGTCCATTATTTGCATCAGTAGGTTAACATCAATTTTGCAGGTTGCAGACAGGCAAACTTATACATCATAAAATCGCATATAATATTTCAGTTCAATTCCTGTTTATTTACGTGCAAACTTAACAGCACAGAGGCCAATTACAAAGCTAGCAGGAATAGAGAGAAATACACAAAAATTATTAAAAAAAAACAAAATACAAAGAATGATAGTCTATAATAATTACACAGTGAGCATGAATAAAGATACAGACAAAGCCACAATTTGAGAATTTGAGTTTCAAATAGAGCAGCATACAACAAGAAATCTTCAATTCTTTATTATTTATGAGCCGGGCCAACAGCCCCAAGGCCAATTACGGACAGAGCACAGGGTAGATACAAGTTACATTATGAACATAACATAAAAAAGTCAAAGACAAAAAGACATTTTACAGGCAAGCACTGGAGGAAAACACAATAATGCAGACAAGTAAACAAATAACAACAATAATAATAAATCATCAACATAAATCAAATAATAATAATAAATAAATTCAATTAAAACATAAATTAAATAACTTACTATAAAACCATAGTCACAATTTCATATAATCACTTAAATTAGCAATTAGTTGTCTTCCGGTGTCACACATTTATAACCAGTTCTATGTTAAATGTTCAGACAAGCTAGAGAGGTGTAACAGCCTCTTCAATACATGTTTAAAATTGTACCATCAGCAGCCATCTTTGTTATGGTTATCAATTAATGACAAACAGATCTGGGTTATTAAAATTTGATTCCCTTATAAACCCTCAGCAGGGCAATGAGAAAACAACCACGTAGCAGGCATCACTGTTGCTACCGTCGTCTATCGCGACCACTGTTTATCCGTGTTGCATAGCGACCAGTGTGCTGGGACTCAGCTCACTTCGGCTCCGCTCGGCAAGTCACCGCTGGCTGGGGGAGGGGAGGGAGGATCTTGACCTGCCTATTACCGTTGCGCAACACGACACAATATTATCACTTCTCTGCTGAGACCCAATGCAATGGTAGCATGTTGGTGCATGTCAGTGATGTATGACATGAACATTCTTGTTAAAATACATCTAAAAATATTTTGTCAATCAACTAATGGTCCAGTCCCTGTCAATATTTCATATATGCATATAGCATAAATAGCCTATACTCATTCATTCCAGATTACTGGAACAGCATGGGGGAATGACCAACAAACTAAATGGAAATAATTGCAATGCAATTCATTCCTACATGTATCATTCTTATGAACTACCTATAATGTAGCCCCATTTCCAGCCACAGAATATTAATTCCTTCAACCAGACTACAAGTATTGTACTTAAAAAAGGTAAGCTAAAGTTCTCCCTGTGCTTTACTAATTAAGCAGTACACCATGTAGGCGTATGGGGAAGTGGGTATATAGTTCCACATTTTGTTGGCCTCAGCACTAGCTGGAGGGGAGTGGTCAGCTTACTGCCCCTGCTGCTTTATCCCCAGGAAAAGAGACACTGGTACCCATCGTATAGGAGACTGGATGGGCCCCAGAGTTGGTCTGGACGATGTGGAGAAAAGAAAATTCTTGACTCTACTGGGACTCGAACTCTCACCCTCGGTTGTCCAGCCTATAGCCATTCACTATACTGACTATGAAATCCTGGCTCACACTTAAAGCATCTCAAAGTAATCAAAGTAACTCTAGAACAACTTAAGAAAAATATCTCCTGAAAAACAATTTTATAACGTTGAGAACCGATATTAAGTATAGACTGTAGTTTCTAAGTCAAGCAATAAAACCCATGTTAGTACACAATCTTTACGTCTGGCTGCCAAAATAACATGAATCCAAAATGTACATCAAGGTTCACAGTACCGCCATTACAACAAGTATTATGTCTTTGGACATTATCCATCGTCTTGTCTACATTCTAAAAACCGTCATGTGTGTTCTTTTAAAAACACAGGGTTTCGGAGACTGGATTCTCTCCATGTCCTCAGGTAAAATCTACTCCGTTGGGTCCAGTAGTTACAGCTGGCCCCTAGGTCCGGAGATAGGGGCTAGCTGTATCTACTGGACCCAACTGAGTAAGTTTCACGTGAGGACAGGGACAGAATCGACTCCGAAATGCTGTGTTTTTAAAAAAAGAAACAGGACAGTTTATAGAAAATAGACAAGACGATGGAT